CCATCTTCCAGTATGGAGTGTAGGTCTACTTCCAGCTCATTTGCCTCAGTCCCTTTATCTCGTTTCTGGACATGTGCAGATATGGTCATCTGCTTCTGTTTTTGGGGCATATTCAGGGGTTATCTGTGGCCTTCATATTCAGATGGGTATGTATTTTGGTGTTTTTTATTCTTTCTGATTGCCTCCAGGTAGATGTGATCAGGAAACGGGCTTCCCTTTTCACTCTTCTTGAGAAATTTCAAGATGCCACTGTTGGTCATTTTGACGTAACTTAGGTTTTCATTTTTGGCTTATTTCCTTTTTTTCTGCTTGTCCCGCTCCACAATCCCCGTTCAGGCCTTTTGTCTAGTTATAAACAGTTCAGGGCTGGCTGTGGCTGTCTGGTTTCAATTGGAGACTGTCTCTTTAAATTTTGAGGAGATCTGTGTGCATGCGTAGTAGAACCCTCCGAGGATGGGGCTGGGGTGCCCACTAGCTCAGGCACCCCTATAGCCACCCGAATGGAGGTGCGCAGACAGCAAGGGACCAATCAACAGCTACCAATAGAAAAGAATGTCCACACCTTTATCTCTGCAGTTCTGCCAGGTGTCTGTGGCCACTCCGATCCTTCCCCAACATGGTTTCACCCAAGATGGTGGCTCCTGGAGCAGCTGAGCATTCCGGACTAGAAAGGAATGGATTTCTTGCTTCTGCCACAAATTCCCCCAGCTGTAAGCCTTCCAACCTTCTAAATATTACTTTATATGTGGTTCAGAGTTCTGGGACCCTCCCCTGAGCCTGCTTGGTCAGGTATTCTGTGTTGTTGCTGGTGGAGCTCTTTACTACACTTCCACCTGATCCACCATCTTCTTTGCTCTCCTTCACATTTATTTCTTAAGACCTCAATTTTTATTTAACTCTTCTCTCATGATTATTGTCTTTCTCGAAGCTATAGATATTATGCTCACTTACTCCTAAATATTCCAATCTGAATTTTTTAGAGTCAAGAATACTGTGATATACCAACAGGAGACCCTCCAAATTAAAATATAAGCATTTATACATTATCTAAATACTTGAACTCAATTCAAGTTTTGTCTGCTGTCCCAACAATGTTTTCCTTTCTTTTATAGACCAGAATCTAGTTCAGAAACGTAAGTTGCATTTAGTGTACAGGGCTCTTCAATTTCCTTTGATCTAGAATAGTTCCTCAGTGTTCCCTACCTCTCATGCCCTTGGCAGTTAAAGTAAACCTAACTGTAACCCTAAAATTATACCAAGCCCTACTCTAGCCCTAGCTGGCT